CATTATTCTAAATTAAATCTGTTGTCCAAATTTGATTATATCAAAATTTTGCAAAAAAATGGTATTAAAAGAGCCAAAAATTTTAAGGGTTTTAATAACGTTATAGCAGTAGTTTTTTTTCTAAAATTTATTAGTGTTATGCAAAAGCAACAAATTTTATTTTTAAACTGCATTTTGTTTCGTTTCAACATAATTTTTCGTTTTCGACAAAAAGTCATACCAAACAAAAAAATCATACCAAAGCGAAACAAAAATATATTATAAAGCTATAAATTGAAAGCTTTTAAATTAAAAAATTTAAATAATAAATTTATTGTTGGTGTTAACGTCATAAAAACTTTTAAAATTGTGGTTTTTTTATCTGTTTGCGTCATTTTTTTTAATTCGGTCTCGATATAGCCATATTTGAATAATGGATTCAGCAGGTAAAAATACAATGCTAATTATCTATTCATATTAGAGAAAAAAAAGATAATATTTGTCGGACAATGTTATTGCATATTAAGTTTGTGTCGTCTTTATTTATACAAAAAATTAACTTTCTCATATTATAAAAGGCACAATTATAAACACTAAAAAAATTTCTGGAAAATAGACGAATTTGAATTTATTCTAATTGAGATAACCGGAATTCTGATTGATACAATATTTCTGGTAAAATCAAAAATTCTTATTTTTAGAATAATTATATCAATCAGAATTCTAATTATTTCAACTAGAATTCTAGTTGATTTAACCAGATAATTCTAATTCGTTGGTTTTTGATCAGAATTATTATTTAATCTAACTAGATCATTTTTCTCAGTGTACACAATTACACATACACATTATACACATACATAAAAAAATTTCGAAAAAATTAATAAGTGTATTAATTAATATTAATTTTAACTTACTATTGAGTCTGTGCTATTTATTTAAATTTTAAACTTTAAAATCAAATAAAACTTTCTTTTCTCCATTTTATACAAAACTTTTCGAATTAATTGTTAAATAACCGCGTCACAGCGTCGGTCAGCTTGTATAGCGACCTGTTTAATTAACGAAGCTATCTCGTATAGATTATGTCTGCTATCAAGCATATATATAAATTTCTATTAAATCATGCGGAATGTTATTGAGTATAATCATGATGAGGGATTGCATTATTGGATATCTTCCACTCGAGTAATTTCAGTTAATTCATCGTGGATCGGTTGGAAAATTTACAGAACGCAAGCTTGCAATATCAATATACTTAAAAATTATTGCACTACTCGCATAAACGTGCATCTCTTTGTTAAAACTGTCTCCGAATTCTGAATACCACTCTACATAATAAACGATCTGCATTAACGGTCATGTGCTACTCTTCTCTTCAATTCATCGGGTGTCAGAAATGTTTATTATATAAATACTGTACAGTAGAGATACTGTTAAGTAATTTATCATTTTTGTCAACCTTTGTATTAAATAAAACTAGAAATCCGAAGTTATTCAAAAGAGAAATTGACAAATTTTTCTCGCGGGATAAAAAAGGAGATAAGTATATTGAAACGCATAGAAATTTTGTTTTAATTTTGGTAAAATTTTATTTTAACTCTTTACTCGATAAGTATAACAAACTTTTCACACTAATTTAGAATTAATTCATTTATAACTGAAAATTACAAAACAAAATAAGAATTTTAATTAGAATTTAGAAGGTATGTGGTTTTCAACTTGTTAGTTTTCGCATGATTTTGGAACGAGAATATATGTTTTTATTGTTTATAAAAAAAGAAAACAAAATAAAAATTAAATAACAGCGGTGTAAAATAAAAATTGACAAATAAAAGTA